TCGGGGCGAACATAACATATCTCTTCGGCTAATGAAAACTTATCTGAAACGCATGTGGAACCAAGGCGAACATAACATATCTCTTCAGGGCGAACAGAACATATCTCTTCGGCTAATGAAAACTTATCTGAAACGCATGTGGAACTAAGGCGAACAGAACATATCTCTTCGCTACTGAACACCATGAAAATGATCACGAAGTGCATGTTTCTTCCCCTTCTGCAGTACCCGAAGACCCAACTCCTGAGAATGGTCTTGAGGTAAGCCTCTTTAACACAAATATTGTGACATCTCCTGTTAGTTATGTGTTACCTAATAGGCAAAATCATGGCAAGCCCCCAAGCCGCTACTCACCAGACATTAAGGAAAAAAGATCAAGATACCTTATTGCCAATTATGTGTCCACAAAGGAGCTGAATGATCCTCTCAAGAAATTTGTACATAGCCTGTTTGTGTGTCATGTTCCAACAAGGGTGGAGAAAGCCTTAGAAGACCCGAAGTGGACTCAGGCAATCAAAGATAAAATGGAGGCACTAATGAAGAACAAGACATGGAACCTAGTGCCACTACCGGAAGGAAAAAGAATAGTGGGGTACAAGTGGGTGTTTTCCATTAAACACAAAGCTGATGGATCTATAGAAAGATACAAGGCAAGACTCGTGGCAAAAGGGTACACTCAAACATATGGTATAGACTATCAAGATACTTTCTCACCAGTAGCAAAATTAAATACTGTTAGAGTGTTGCTATCTCTTGCAGGAAATTTAGGATGGCCACTACATCAGTTGGACGTGAAAAATGCCTTTCTTCATGGTGAGCTTGAAGAAGAGGTTATGGACATCCCTCCAGGCTACTTAGTGACCACAGGAACTAATGAGGTGTGTAAGTTACAACGAGCTTTGTATGGGTTAAAACAATCACCACGGGCTTGGTTCGGGCGATTTAGCTTGGCAATGAAGAAGTACGGTTTCCAACAGAGCAACGCAGACCACACCTTATTTCTCAAAAAATAGCAAGGCAAAGTTATGGTTCTTATTGTTTATGTCGACAATATGATCATTATGGGAGATGATATTGAAGAAATCTCACGGCTCCAATAGCAGTTGGCTTGCAAATTCGAAATGAAGAATCTAGGTGGGCTCAAGTATTTCCTTGGGATAGAATTTGCTAGATCACCCCAAGTCATATTTTTATCCCAAAGAAAATATATCCTAGATTTATTATCTGAATTTGGATTGTTGGAGTGCAAACCAGTGGATATCCCAATTGTCCAAAATCATAAACTTGGGGTATATCTGAACCAGAAACCAACTGACAAGGGAAGATATCAACGATTAGTTGGAAAACTAATTTTTCTCTCTCATACTCGTCCAGATATTGCTTATGCTGTGAGTGTAGTGAGTCAATTTATGCATTGTCCAAGTGAAGAACACATGGAGGCTGTAATTCAGATACTAAAGTACTTGAAGTCTTCTCCAAGAAAAGGGCTCATGTTTTCTAAGAAGATCATGTGGAAGTTGATGGCTATACCGATGCAGATTGGGCCGGGAACATCTCTGATAGGAAGTCGATGTCAGGGTATTTCACATTTGTACGTAAGTGGAAACCTTGTGACATGGAGAAGCAAGAAACAAAAGGTGGTGGCACTCTCGAGTGCAGAGGCAGAGTTTCGTGGGATGGTCAAAGGGTTGTGTGAGCTCCTTTGGCTGAAAAGACTATTATCTGAGATTGGTTTTGCTCCCAAGTCTGAAATGAACCTCTTTTGTGACAATAAAGCTGCTATAGACATTTCAAACAATCCGGTTAAGCATGATCGAACCAAGCACGTAGAGGTTGATTGACACTTCATCAAACATAACCTAGAGAATAATACAATCCAGTTCCCATTTGTCAAATCTGAGGACCAGCTTGCAGATATACTAACCAAAGCCGTGTCCAGCAAAGACTTCCACAACTCACTGATCAAGTTGCGCATGAAGGATCTGTATGCATCAACTTTAGGGGGAGTGTTGGCGTGAGTTGTATATGAAAGGAATTAGAGTAGTTATAGGAAGTTGGATGGAAAGAAATTATCTCCTTCATACGGTTAGCATAATTATAGGAGAAAAATCTGTATAGAAAATATATCTTGATATGTACTTATAAAACAGAATCGTAACAGGAATAAAAATATAATTGATTGAGAACTTTTTGACATTAACACTCTTGGCATTTCAGCTGCCCGTATTGACTTTGCTCCTTATGGCCAAAACCCACCTCACACTCACCCTCGTGCCACTGAGATTCTTGTAGTTCTGGAGGGTACTCTTCTTATTGGTTTCGTTACATCCAATCCTAATAACACACTTATTAGCAAAGTTCTTAACAAGGGTGACGTGTTCGTCTTCCCCATTGGTCTCGTTCACTTTCAATTCAATATCGGAAAAACAAATGCTCTTGCCTTTGCTGGTTTGACTAGGGGTGTTCAAAAGCGGTTAACCGAACCGGTTAACCGCTTTTTTGAACCGAACTGGTTTTGAGGGAAAACCGGTTAACCGCTTTTTTTAAAGCGGTTAACCGGTTTTCCCTCTTTTTTATAAAACTTATTTTTTTTATTTTTTCCTAAATTAAATTGTAAATATAAATAATACATATCCAAATAAAAATTAGACATTCATATATATCCATTGACCACTACTAACAATACATTAAAAATATTATTATTTTTTATTTAATATATAATATATTATATTTTGTAAAACTGGTTCAAAAAACCGGTTTCGGTTAACCGCTTTTTATTTTTTCCCGAACCGGAAATTCGGTTTTTTGAATTTTTTGAACCGTAACCGAACCGTTTTTTCGGTTAACCGGTTTTTGGTTCGGTTATCGGTTCGGTTTTTGCATTTTTTTGAACACCCCTAGGTTTGAGCAGCCAGAACCCCGGTGTCATTACTATTGTCAACGCTGTGTTTGGGTCAAATCCTCCAATTAATCCAGATTTTCTTGCCAAGGCTTTCATGTTGGACGTAAAAGTGGTGAAAGATCTCTAGGCGAAATTCTAGATGGATGATTAGAGAAATGTGTCAAATACACTGAATTAGCTTCTACAATTTGAATAACGCTTGCCTATTTTATTGTTACAATGTTGTAATAAATGGTTACACATTTATATGTGCCTCCACCCAATTTGTTTGTTTCAGTTAATGATATAATATTTTTCTTATTATTTCTCTCTTCTCTGTTACAGATATCTATGTAACTTATAATATAAATACATTTTTCATGATGTGAAAACAAAATATGATTGATAATTGAATTCCATAATTCTAGGAATTCTTCTAGGTCAGTCAGTAAACTCGATTCCTTTGAAAATATATATTTTATTTCGTAAGAAACTAATAATCTATTGTACGTATGTAGGATGAATTTTATGTGCACTAGTATATTCACTCAAAGTTTCTTATTGTTATAAGTTGTTCTGAAGACATAATAAAAAAGATGGGTTCTGTAGGCTCTAGGAAAATCCTTAAGAGAGACTAGAATGTGAAATTCAATAGAAAATTAAAGAATAATTGTGTAGTCAACAAGCTAGATTAACGTTGAATATTTTAACAATTATTCAACTGATTAAGCATGTTTAAATTGAATCTTAATAATAGAGACCAGGATTCCAGGTTCATCCCCTTGTGGGCAATTTTCCGCAGCTTTAATTGAGTTTTTCAGGTTCTGTTTGGCGGTCCCTCTTGGCCACCTTTGGGCCTTATTTGCAAAGCCTTTTCATGTTGAGCTCATGCATGTTACAAAATTTGGCTGTCTTTCTATTTGGATGACAAACGTCAGTGCCACTCTCTTTCATCTAGGGGTAGGCAAGTCTAGGTACCCGCCCAAATCCCATGAAACCGGAATAAGAACCAAAACCAGTCGGTTTTTAGGATTTGGAATCGGAATCAGAACTGTCTGGTTCCGGTTCCTAAAAGTCTGGAATCGGAACCTCAAACATAGGTTTCGGTTCCAGATACTCGAGAAAATTACGATTACCCTTACTATTCACAAAAATGACAAATACACCCAAAAAAATTAAAAATACATTTCCAAAAGTTTACAAAAATTACAGTTCAATCTCGACTCTTACCCAGATACCTAGGTCTCAATTCCGGTTTTGGTTCCTGTAGTGATGGAACCGGAACCAGAACTGCACAGTATAGATTCTGATTTTTTAGAACTGCCACCTCGAGTACCTACCGGTTCAGTTCTACCCTATTTGGTTGCCCACCCCTACTTTCATCTATGATTAGCTTACGTAATTTATCCCAAGGGAACACAATCGGTTTACTTTTTATTTTATAATAAATTACCTCTTTTCGATTTGTAAATTAAAACAGGATAGAATGATAAAATTATTGATATATTATACTATTGAAAAAATAAAGAGTCTTTTTACTACGTCTGATACCTTCAAAGCACAACTAATGGATACATAACCAAAGACTTCTGTCTGACTTAATTTCTAAGTAATTTATAACTGTATATGGGAATGGGCTACCGCCAACTTTCATTTTGAACCACCTTGTCAGCTATAACATATGGCTATTCTATTTATTGCATTACGTGTCTCAGATTTTGTTATTAATATAAGGAAAAGGAATAAAGGGGGTCTTACTTTTTGAAGCTTTATATTTAACGTATGGGACAAGGACAAACAATAGAAACTTAAAGATGACTTGCTTTTTATGATCCTAACAAGCAATTGATAGTAATAAATCGAAATAAAAAATAATCATAAAATTATATCTTCATTATACAACATAAATTGGTCTCCGTCAAAATTTTTGGTATTCTTTAGTTTTTATTATATTGGTAAGAACGTTGAATTTTATATCGAAAGCGGTTATTCTTAGTTACAAATATGTGGTATTAATTTTACCAAATATTACCTGTCAAGATATAAGCTTAAGAGCAGTCTGATTTAAAATGCAATTTTGGAGAGTAGTAGGACTAACTTGTTATTTGATTGGGTTAAAATGTCAGAAGTCAAAGTTTGTAAGAAACGCAGTGTTTTCTATCAACGGCTTTATGAAGATCTGTGCGCACGTTTGTTAATGAAGAATTCAAGAATTTCTTCTAATTGACTAGAAAATCTTCACTTTACCAAATAAGCAACATGCTTTGGTGTCTATTGGTTTCATGTAATTTATATGAAGATTTTAGTATTCCTCTAACTTTAATCAATGAATGGGACACGGCTTGAAATAAAGTGAATGGTTCTTTTTTTGTTTACCCTGGTTCCATAACTAACGGTGTAATAAAATCAAACTCATTATTAAATAAAGCATATATATCTAACTTTATATCAACAACCGAAAGATTATCAAAATTAAAATATCATTAGAAAGTCCATCCATACATGATGCATAAAAAATATAGGAAACAATTACAAACAATAAGGTTCGTCTCAGTCCCACGAAAATAGTTATAACAGTTTTTTCTTTCTGTAACAATTTCTATACCTAACTCCCTTTAATTTTTAGTTCTGAAGGGTACTCTTCCTGTTGGTTTCGTCACTTCCAATCCTAATAACACACTTATTAGCAAAGTTCTTAACAAGGGTGACGTGTTCGTCTTCCCCATTGGTCTCGTTCACTTTCAATTCAATATCAGAAAAACAAATGCTTTTGCCTTTGCTGGTTTGAGCAGCCAAAACCCCGGTGTCATTACTATTGCCAACGCTGTATTTGGGTCAAATCCTCCAATTAATCCAGATTTTCTTGCCAAGGCTTTCATGTTGGACGTAAAAGTGGTGAAAGATCTCCAGGCAAAATTCTAGATGGATGATTAGAGAAACATGTCAAATGCAGTGGATTACCTTCTATAACTTGAATAATGCTTGCCTATTTTATTGTTACAATGTTGTAATAAAGTGGTTACACATTTATAAGTGCCTCCACCCAATTCGTTTGTTTCAATTAGCGATATAATATTGTTCCTATTATTTCTCTCTTCTCTATCGCAGATATCTATATAATTCATAATATAGATACATTTTTTATGATGTGAAAACAAATTATGATTGATAATTAAATGAATCCCATAATTGTAGGACTTTCTCTAGGTCAATCAATAAACTCGATTGCTTTGAAAAAATATATTTTCTTTCATAAAAAACTAATAACCTGATTGTACGTACATAGGATGACTTAGACTAAAAAATACGATATAATTGAGAATTGGAATTATTGATATATCTCTTATTTATGCAGAAAACTTAAGAGTATATGATTCTTTCTTACAAGACTTACGTATCTAACATGATAATCCCCTCATGTGTTTAAAGTTAAAATCATTTGACCATCAAGTAAGATTAGAATCTTCATTGAAGAACTTAACAAGGCTATGATAATATGGGAAAAAAAAATTAAATTTGCTTGAAAATAACGTCATAACATGCATACTAGTTTTACTCTAAGAATTACTCTATCTAGTATTTCTCAAGTCAATCTATTAATTGATCATGACCAATACTATGATTTTAGTATTTCATGTAAAGAGATACAAACATGTTGATGTATGATTTTGATACCAACGACCCACAAGTGCAAAGTGCTAAGCTGTTTTTAAAAATTACACGTGATATGATTAATTCAAGAGTTAATCAGTATAATTGAATACAAAGACTAAAGTGGTTCGGATGCTTAAAGCAATTCCTACATCCACTGTTTCTTTGATATATGAGAGTTTATAAGAGGTCACGTATAACAAACAGCAAGCAACGGTAAAATAACTGAGCATTTAGAGAGAATATCAATTAGTCTCTTTCTCGTAGGTTATCTTTGCTCTGAAAATAAATATTACAATCAGAATCAGAATCCCGAAATTGAGAGGAGGGAGGGGGGGGGGGGGGGGGGGTGGGGGGGGGGGGGGGGGGGGGGGTGGGGGGGGGGGGGGGGGGGGGGTGGGGGGGGGGGGGGGGGGGGGGGGGTCTCTATGTATAAGGCTATTGGTGTGACCATGTAGGTCCACCGTGGATTAGCCATGAGCCGGTTCTGGATGAATCTGAAATCCTGTCCGGGAGCTCAACGACTATGGTAAACATCTAGCAATGTGCCACAGTCCCTAAACCACGATGAGAAATACTTCATCGAACTCATTTCAGATCATACGTACCATGCAGGTAAAGTCCCTCCTTGAAATATCCTGACCCGAGGACGGATTCATAGAACTTCAAAATCCTAAACTCGATCTTCTACTCACGAATCGTCGATCAATATGTCCGAACGCGTCATCACAAACTGCTTTTGTATGACTAATAATATTCTAGCTAGAGATTCTGATTTCCAACATTTATCGATGTTCGTCTAGGAACTCGAATCCGGATGGAGTCAGCGGTACTCCCGATCCTATATTTTCGAGTCAATGGATCCCCTCTTGACCATCGTTCGTTTCCGCATATGAACAACGCATGACCAAATAGGCTTTATTGTACGAAACATGATTAGTCTCGTACTTATACACCGTATGAACCATACGCATCCATATCGGATCCGACTACAATGTCTCAGGTCAAAGGACTACATCGTGCACTGATATAACCAAACGATAAATCATTGACTACATGCTTTTCCAAGTGATTTGTCGTTATTCGGTCACGTTCGAAAAACAGTTCACCAACTGCTAATCCATACCAATGCCCCAGTGACGTGACTATCATCGTCATCCGTACTTATACCAACTCATGATATCTTTCGGAAGCATCCGATATGCCTACTGTGCAATATAGTTGCCCAAATTATATTGCTTCTGTAGGGAAACCTTTTTGATAATTCATTTACCGATTAAATGAATCATCTGGACAATTCATATACATACTTTATTTTAAATGCATGACTGAATAAAGGAAGCAATTTATATATATGAATTGAAGAACTCTTTCTTCTGTTATTTATGATATATAGATACACGACAAAATGCTCTGAAACCAATAACACGAATGGTTTCTAGGGCATACACTAATATACACTAACAGTTTCCCGTTATCAGAGATGAGTGTATGAGGAATCCCATAGTGACACACTATATTCTTGAAGATGAATTCTTTGAGCTTCTTCGTAGTGATCGCGGCCAAAGACTCTGTTTCGACCCACTTAGTGAAATAATCCATTGCAACCACCGTATATTTGATGCCACCTTTATCGATTGGCATGGGTCCGATGAGATCAATTCCCTACATAGAGAATGGCCAAGGACTGGTCATCGTTGTTAGCTAATGGGAAGGAGCTCTCGGGATGTTAATGAATCTTTAGCACTTGTCACACTTATTCACAAAGTTGAAGGCATCTTCATGAAGTAAGGGCCAATAATATCCCTAACGGATAATTTTATTGGCAAGAGATTATGCGGCAGTGTGATTACCATAGATCCCTTCATGTATCTCTCTCATGATACAGTCTACTTTATCATCTATTACACATCGAAGGTGGAGAGTGCTAAACCCTCGTTTATACAATTGATCTCCGATGAGAGTGTAACAAGCAGCTCTAGTTTGTAGGAGTCTTGCCTCAGTCTTGCTATTAGGAAGAACCCTATTTCTATGATACTGAATAGTCAAAGTCATCCAAGAAACGGATTCAATTGCAACTACAACCTGCTCAGAATAGTTGATGCTACGAACTTTGATGCACTTAACCGGGATACTATTTGGCATGTCGGAGTCTAGTGAAGAGGCTATCTTTGCCAAAGTATTTGCGATAGAATTACTATCTCTCGGGATCTATTTGATCATATAATGCTTGAAGAGCTCGAGTGCGGCCTTGGCTTTCTTGAAGTAACTGATCATATTCTCTTCCTTGGCTTGATACTCTCCCAGAATCTGATTGACAACTAGCTGGGAGTCGCTATTGATGTCGATCATATCTGACCCCATTTCTCTTGCTAGTCACAGACTAGCAAATAGTGTTTCATATTCGGCCTCATTATTCGTAGCTTTGAATCCAATCCTAAGGGCTCCATAAATGCGAGTCCCCTCAAGCCTAATGAGCAGAAGACTAGCTCTGTCTCTTCTCTTGTTTGAAGACTTATCAACATAGAGACTCTAGGTTGACAACTTTCAAACAGTTTCTTGGACAACTTCGCTTGCTGGCTGTTCAGATTTCTGATTTGGTTGATGAGTGAACTCCGAAATAAAGTCAGCAACATCCTACCCTTTAATTGCTGCTTTTGGTCTATAATGTAGATTGAACTGGTTTAGTTCCATAGCCCACTTAAGCAACTTACCCGAAGCTTCTTGCTTCTGAAGGACCTGCCTGAGTGGGTAGTTGGTTAATACATGAATGGTGTGAGCATGGAAGTAAGGTCGTAACTTCCTGGAAGTGATCAGCAAGGCATAATCCAATCGTTCCATCTTTGGATACCGTGTCTTGGCATCCAGTAGTCATTTGCTCATGTAATATACTGGCCATTGAATTCTGCCTTCTTCTTGAATGAGAGCTACGCTGACCGCATACTGAGAGACGGATAGGTAGATAAATAAGATTTCCTTAGGAAGAGGCTTGGACAAAAGAGGTGGCTTTCTAAGATGCTCTTTTATTCTCTAGAAGGTTTGCTCACACTTTAGAGTTCATTCGAATCACTTGTTGGCCCTAAGTATATTGAAGAACGACAAACAATGATATGTTGCTCTCGATATGAAGTGATTGAGAGCCACTATTCTCCCATTCAAGCTCTGAACTTGCTTTTGATTAGAGACACTTTTCATATCTAAGAGAGCTTGAATCTTCTTGGGGTTAACTTTAATTCCCTGATGGTTAACCATATACCCTAGGAATTTCCCTGAGGATACTCCGAATGAACACTTAAGAGGATTAAGTTTCATTCAATATCTTCAGAGTATATCGAACATTTCTATGAGGTTAGCTATGTGATCTGAAGCGACATCCGATTTGACAAGCATGTCATCGACATAGACCTCCATTGCTTTCCTGATGTGCTCAAAAAACATATGGTTAACCAAACGCTAGTAGGTCACCCCAGCATTTTTCAGACTGAAAGGCATGACTTTATAGTAGTATAGTCATCAATCTATAATAAATAAGGTATGCTCCTCGTCGGACGTGTATATTAGGATCTAATTATACCTCGAGTAGACATCCATGAAGCTTAACAGCTCATGCTCGGAAGTGGCATCAACGAGCTGATCGATCCTAGGCAAAAGGAAACTGTCCTTTGAACAAGCTTTGTTGAGATATGTGAAATCAACATAGGTTCGTCATTTGTCATTGGGTTTCTTCACCAAAATAAGATTGGTAACCCAACTTGGGTAATGAGCCTCCCAAATGAACCCGATTGAGAGGAGCTTATCCACCCCAATCTTAAGAGCATCATAACACTTTGGGTTCGTGGCTCTTCTTTTCTAGCGAACTGGCATGACCTCACTATCGATGTTCAGTGCATGACATATTATATTCAGGCTGATCTTGACCATGTCAGCATGAGTCCATGCAAAAACATCTATATTCTACTTGAGGAAGCTCGTTAGATCAGTAGCGAGTTGAGGGCTAAAATTGCTTCCGACTATCAACACATGAGTCAGCTCATTCTGGTCGACTGATACCTCAGATAGAGTCTCAACAGGCCTACTGTGGGAATACTCTTTTTGAACATGAGGATTAATACTGTCTTTCAATGGACTGGGCTGTGGTTCGATCTTACTAATCGCTATTGCCTGCTCGAGAACGCCCACTGGTTTTCCTTTCCCTTTGCATGTCATCTACACTACTCTTACATAGCAGTTGCGAGATTCACGCTGAAACCCCTTGACCTCCCCACACCTTA